AGCTGAGGTATTTTAGTATCACAAAAATGAAGGGTTTTTTTCTGCTTCAGCAAATCAAGAAATAATGTTCCAGCCTTAAGCAAGTTCAAAGAACTTGTATTCAGGGTCCAAAGTAAAGTGGAGCAATTTCTGGGAGCAGGAGCAGGAAATGATCCAAAGACAGTGGATACATGTTCATTTAGGCAAAAAGACAGATGGAAAAAGAAAAATTAAACCACATACAGCAAAACCAGGTGTCATTGGCAAGAGACTGACTTCTTGCATGAGAAAAGTGTAAAACATTTTTCACACCCAGTCTACACCTGGACTGATTCTGTGCTAGAGTTTAAACCTATGCCAGCCTGTCTCTGTGGCCTTGTAAATATGCTTGAGAAAGAAGATGGTTATGACCAATGCTGAAGATTAAGCTACTGCTTTCTACCTGACTGCTTCATCCATTTGCTCCCATCTGAACAGAAGAACTTTGTTTTGTTAACTTGTTTTTCACCATGAAAGAGTTGATTCTTCTTTTTATTTTTTTCAGGATACAGACATTTTAGTATATTCCTAAATTTATCGGTGGTGAAATTCTGAAGCAAGCATCAGTGGATTGTGGCCTCTGAGAAGCCACTAGAGTCTGCTTCCTCCCAGACCTTTCTTCATGTCTCATGCACCCCATCTGTTCAGAAAATATTCAGCAAAAAGTCAAGCTGGATGCCTTGCTTTGATTTAAATAGTTTTTTTTTTTAGTTGTCCCAGAAGCAGTGACCCTAATTCATTTTTATATGCAGAACTGTTTTTTAGAAGACTAAACTGAATAAAAGTGAATTACTTTGTACTGTTCCTAATTATATTATTTGTTCCCTTCTCCTCAGCTAACTTTTAGAAAAGCTCAGAAAGCTCACACTTTTCTTCAGCAGCAGAGTCAGAATTCATATAGAATGGGCAGATACAAAGACATCATCCAAAGTGTGCCTATGAGTAGTCTGAAATGACCACTTAATAATAAATCTGAAATAATGTTAGGAAAAATCCAGAATTTATTTTCTTTCCTAAAATTGAAGGGATTGCAAAGTCAAATTTCTAATGTGGATTAATGACTATGAAGTTTCTAAAGTTGTGTTGAAGTATATAAGAAGAACACTTCTTTTTTTGGCCACTGTTGAATGCTTGGTATTACATTTTTTCCCTAAACATGTTACTTTGAAGAGGAAACTTGCTAGATTGGCTTACAATAAGGAGAGCAAAGAGTGTTTCCCAGAAAACACAGAGCCTTGGGTTGACAGAGAAGTGGAATGATAAGTTTGCCTATCAAAATTCACTTCATTTAATCCAGTTATGCCACCTTGAGAATTGGTCATCACTGTTTTCTTAGCAGTTGAAGAATTCACTAACTTCAAATTCAATGATAACTTGGGATGCACCTCAGAACTTCTCTCCAAAAAAGCCATGTGAGCAAGGCTTTTCTGAACTTGGACAAATCAGCCTTCTGTTTGGTGAAGGGAACAAAACAAGGGGCATTCTGTGATGTGTGATGAAGGATATGTTGGCATCAGTTCAGGCCTCACTATGTGATGATCCAGCTCTTGAACTTGGTGTAGCTTGTCATTCTTTGGGGATTGAGGTGACAGTGGGAGACAACACAAAAATTTCTGCCCAGAAGGTCCAAAATAATTGCATATTAACTTCTTCTTAATAATAACTTCTTAAATAATAACTTCTGCTTATTTTGGACATGTTTGTGGTCTCTTTAAAACTGTGTATGTCTAACAGCTTACACTGACCTCTTTTTGGATTTTCAGAATTCTAACTCCAGTATTCCTCACAAACTAATGTATATCATACACTCAAACTTCACCAAAGACCAGCAAGAGGCACAGGGTTTTTCCTGAGTATAGTTGTATTAAAACTGCCTAATAATTCTTTCCAGTGTAAATAATCACTGTTTGAATTTGGTACATGCAAATAAATGTAAACAATTGAAAACTGACTCTTCAACTTTGTTTTAATGCTGTTACTTTTTTTATAGGTGTGGTAACTCCTCATTGGCAGGGATACTAATAACCATTCCCCCAGGGAGATCAGAAAAATCAAACTATTAGGTGTGGTGAGTCAACATAGCATGTAAAAAGAGAGGCAATTACAACTGTCCTGTCATCAGATCAGTAGGTCTGTGTTGTGATTGATCTCATTCACTTCCACTTGCAAGAAGCATGCAAATGTCACAAGATGCTTTGCCACTCTTGTCTGGTTTTGCTCATGTTTGGTTTAACCCTTTCTAAAAGCTCTTTGCTTTCAACAGTTTTTAGCTTCCAGTTTTTAGCTAGGAGCTAATTGGAGAAAAGGACAGGTAAGAATTAATGGCTTGTGGGGAGAAAACAAGCACAGTCATTAGAGTACTCAGCTGGAAATGTGGAAGTTATGAATGTTGGTCTGGTTCCAAGGCCTCTCGTGTAAGAAATAGTCACTGCATAAATTTCAGAAGCAGGGTTCTTTAGGTTATAAGAATAATATTTTTTATTTGTATTTCAAGTGGTGGCCTGACAAATGCCAGTCAGCAGTGAGTAGGTGCAGGTGCTGCCTGGCAAACCAGAGCAGGGAAAAGGTCTGTGATGGGTGGCATCCCTAGGCAGGCCCTTCTCCCAGGTGTTACCTCTTGGTTAGTTCCAGGTGGCTCTTCCTTCATGTATGAAATTTGTAGGTTGAAGATATTTTCTGTAGCATCCAGCTTGGGAGAAGAAACTTTGGTATCTAGTTCTGCAGTTTGGCTTCTCTGTACTTTGCAGATCTGCTACCTCAAGAAAAGGTGTCATACATAGACATGTTCTTGGCTGAAGAACAAAGAAAATCCACTCCCAGATGCTGGGAAGAATTGTGGTGTGTGAAACAAGAAAAAAGGCACCATCAGTTCCAGGAACAGTAGTGGGCTTTCATCATGACAGTCCACAAAAGGTTTTACTTTGCAAATGACTACTTTTGCTGGGCTTAACTCCATCTTTATTTGCTTTAGACAAAGGTGTGGGTTTATTAGTTTTAGGATAACCCCAAACAGTTTAATATCCAATGAAATTCAAAGAACTTCTTTCCATCCCTACTTATCTCACCTTAATGGCTATGCATCAGTGTAGGGATGTCTACACCTAATAATACAAAATAAATGCATCTTACAAATACACTGAAATGCCTTTACATATGTCTCATAAACCTAAGAACATTCTGGACATCAATCCAATAATATATTTCATGGTCTAATTTTGATTTCTTTAAAAATTTCATACAAGATGGCTAGCTTGGTTGGTCTTTAAAAAGACTTAACTGAGCCTCTCAAATGCACTAAATTCAAGTTCAGAATACTTCGTTCATATGGTAACAAATGAATAAATAGAACTTTTTTTTGTAGAAAAAGCAAGTGAGAGTCTCAGGAGTATTATCTGAAAAATAAATTTCTTGGAAGTGAAAAAGTAGCTTAACAAATGATGACATGCCAGGGTGGACTTTACACAATCCTTAAATGTTGTTTGGGAGATTCTGAATGCACTCACTGGTGCAAGACCAACAAAGTTTATCCAAGTTAACAGCAAATAACCTATCCTTGCATATGTAATGGACAAGCTTTCATTAAAGCCTCCTGCTGCATATTAGGAAGCTCTTAGATCATTAGTTTATCTGGCACCAAGCCACTTACCAAACTCCTCTAAGTATGGAAGTTTGGTTTCTAAGTCACAGTTTTGGAAGCTGCAGTAACTGTTCAGAAAAATCTACCCTTCAGCTGGTAGAGCCCCTGAAGAGCTGCAAAGATGTGTAATATATATGCTTTTGTTCTTCAAAATAGAATAGTGAGAACCCATCAACAGACCTTCTGTATCTACATGGTGTTTTCTTCTTCTCTTCAGCACTTAGGTATTTAGAGCAGCCAAAATCAATACACAAAATGTCAGGTTTGAAAGGGCATGTGTGCAAAAAAAGCATCTTGGGCTAAGGAGGTGGTTCAAAGCACTGACTGTGCTAACAATTTTGCCCAATAATGTAGTAAAAGCATGGGGTTTTGTATTCAGGTGAGCAACAGATTTGGAACAAGATAGCATTTGAACTTGAGAGAACATTCACAATTTGATGCTTCCCTGCTAATACCAGGCATGGTTTACTGAAGGGAGGAAGAATGGAATGGAAGACAGTAGCTTGGGAAAAGAGGTAATGGTGCTGTTGCCACTGCACTACCCCAGCATGGTATCGACCACAAATCTCCTTTCTGTGACTGTAGAACAGGTAGTGTGACTCTGATAACATATTCTGTCTCCTAATATTCACATTACTCTCTTCAGATCCTGGTTCTTAATTAGAAATCCATTCTTGCTTTACCTTGCCAACTATATTAAAATAAATGAAGCATATTTTGTAACCAGTGGCCAAGGACAGGTACATCACTGAATTTTCTTCTGCATGGTGTTAATTGAGAAAAACTAATAAAATAGGCATAGCTGATATGTGCAAGAAGAAAACTAATTTTACAGAGTGCTAAAAGCTTCAGGCAAGATTGTGGTTTTCCTGTAAATTTATGCTGTCTTTATTGTATTAGCTACTTTGGCAGAAGTGTTGAGGTGGAAGCTGAAAAGTAGCACAACTTATTTTGAAATAGTTTGAAATCCAGTAATATCTCTATGATAAACCCAAATCTACTTCAAAATTCTGGCCTTTGTTAATATTCTAATAACTTTCTGGAGCAGCATTTTTATGACTCATAGGTGTGAAACAGGCAGGAGTTCTCTGAGCCCTTCACAAAGTTTGTACCGTGTTTCATAAAGTGATTTCATTATTTCTCTACATGAAAGTGCAGTGAAAAGAATATTCATCCAAGAGAGAATCTGGGGAAGAAAAGGTTATACTAGCCAAGAACTGAATTGTTGAATACATTGGTATGGACTTTATTGTGGTTTCATATTTTACCCAAATTATTACATAAGTTGTTTGAAGGACAAATTAATATAACCATTTAAACAAATTGTTAGCTTTTAAAATATTCTTTTCTTGCCTACATTAAATATTTGAAATAGAGATGACACTGTACAGAAAAGGAGTATGTATGTAGGCAAATTATTTTCTGTTTCTTCTACCTAACTTTATGTGTCCGCTGACATCCACTGAAATGTTCCTTTTTCCCTGTAGTAAATAAGTAATCAGCCCATGAGAACAGTTTGTGGTAAGACCCCTATCTCGGTTGCCCCAGTGCACATCTAGAGAAAGATAACTCCTGTGGGATTGCTTTAGTTTTACAGCAGCTAAATTTTATTCAGCTTGGATCTTCTGTGTTGGAAGAAACCTATTCAGTGGTAAATAAACCCCCACCTCCCCTCCAGCCCTCCCGTTTGTAGGTGACTGACCCTTGAAAAATGTTGGTTAGAGGCAACCTTGACTTGGTACAGAACATTGAATCATTTCCTCCAGATAGAAGTTATTTTTTCCTGATTGTTTCTTTCCTTTTTTTTTTGCCCTGCTGACGTACGTGGCACACAAGGTATGTGTGGCTTCAAATTGCTGCAGCCGTTCTGATTTTTACAAGCACAGAGGTTTATTCAGTGGCAATTTGATGTTCTGGTAGTTAGGTGATGGCAGCTTATTTTTGTGGAGACAGGAATCTGGAGCTGCTGGTACAGCTTGAGCAGTGGCTTTGTTCTGTATCTCATGCTGGCCCCTCTTGAGGCCATGCTGTGGGGCTGAAGGCATACCTGAACCATGAACATTAAGGTACTTAGCATTTTGGGAGGCAGAATTGTGTATATTGTCAAGAACCCGTACTAAATGACCCCCCTCTTGCATGCTGATTGTTTCTTCATCCAAATCAACTGACGGCTGATCCAAAATCAAGCAATGTGGTTATTCCCAGCTAGCTTTCTTGTCTCCTGTGAAACTCACCGTGTTTAGATGCTGAAATATGAACTCTGTTTAAGACATTTGCTGAAAATGTGTTGGCAAAGTAGTATTCATCTTAGAGCAGTGTGAAAGCAGTTTTCTTGCCGCAGTTACGTGTTCTCTGTTTGGATAGCAGAACAGCCACGGCTTGTTGCTTACACGGTGTCCAGGCAGCAGTTGCCACCTTTGGGGTGAACGTAACAGCACTGCTGGTGCAGAGAAATTTGCCTCTCATTATGAGAGATTGGAGAATTCCTTTAATGACACTGTTGTTAAGGATTTATTTTTGTACCCAAAGTGCCCTGAATGAAAAGGCTGAAGTCCAGAAGTCTACTTGTATGGCATGCTCTCCTGTACGTGAATTTGTAATCTGTTCATTTATTTTAATTGCATGCAAGTTTATCTTCCTTCTTGGTGGCAGTTCAGCTTTCCCTTGGTGTTTTGCTGTAGTCAGCTGAGAAGACAGACACTGAGATCACTTTCCAGTTGTTTCTGGGTGTCTCTGGTATTCATCAGCCTCTTTGCTGTCCTGTAAGTAGCTTTTTTCTTATGCTCTCGTTTGCTGTATTGTATTCTGTACGTCTTTTGAGCTGTTTTTTAAAACATCTTAACAAGGTTTCACTAGCATCTGCCATTCCTAAGAAATTTTAGTTAATGAGCTGTGTTTGTTTCCTTACTGCCTTGAACAGACTAAGCAAATAGAGAAGTTCCCCTTTATTTAAATGTTCGTAGCCTTGCTGGTGTTCTCCTGCTGCTGGGTTTTACACACTGTGAGAGTCATCTTTGTCTTTCTAAGCTCTCCCTTGAAATGCTAGAGCTAGCTTATTGTTTGGTATAATAAATGTGATTAGATTAAAAGCCAAAAACCCCTCCATTTTATTTGTTAAAATTATGTTCTTTGGTTGCGACTCGCAGTGTTTTAGGGAGTTCCCTGCTGAGAAATACAGAAATTAGTTCAGTTTCTCTGTGTGTGCATCTTTTCCTCCTTCAGAGGGGAAGAGGGATTCATTGGGTGAAACCATTTATTTGGCCCTTAAAATGCAGACTGTCAGGTCAGCCCTGCAGAGACATCCATATCAGAGCCAGGTTTCTGGAGCTGTTTTTGACCATGAGGAGTCTGAGATGGAGTACTGGACACAAACAGCTCTGAACTGAGCAAGAATAGCTGGTTTTGCTTGTCCTTGGCCTTCACACAGTCATCACAAATGTGAAGGACTCTACACAGTTGAGGGAGGAGTGCTGAAAGTTCTCAGGCAGGAACAAATCTTGCTCTTACTTTATTCCTTCTATCAGCTACATGAGCAAGGATTTTGTGGAGGGGTATCTGCAGGAATTTATTTTCTGACAGTGCTCTCCTAAAACCTCCATTTCATTGAACAAAGCTGTAGTGGTTTGGTTGAAGTTTTAAGGTACAGAAAGTGACCCATGAGTTTAAAATGAGACTAGCATACAGGTCCTATCCAGTGAAAGGTCATGCCTATTCATCTGCAATCAAGAAAATGCAGTTATTGCTTCACTTTTTTTTAAAGAAAAAGACAAGTTATAAATAAAACAAACCTTTCAGCTGCTCATTTTAAAGTGAGACAAAGATGTAGCAGAGGAGACAGAGAAAAATGTTAACATGCCTGTAATCTTTGGTAGCTCTTCAAGAACAAGAGGTCATCTGCAGAAAGAGTCCCTTGAAATCTCCCTATCTGCAGTTTTCCATCCAGATTCATGCAAGGCTCTAGAGAGGAGATGTAGGCTCTACTCATCTCCAGTGCTGAGTGAAGCTTAAAAAAAAGAGAATCCACTATCACTAAGGATATGCACTCATTGGGGGACCGTGACAAACACATTCTTATTTTTCACCTTTTGAATATATAGGTCTTAATGCAGAACTAAATCCCAGTATATAAATCAAGTAGTAAATATCTTGAGTACTACAACATCAGCATAATTCCCTCAATGATCTGCACTTGCCAGTATCACTTCCAGGCTTTCATTTGAACTGTTCAACTCATACGTCCACTAAAAAACACCAAGAAATCCTCCTATGGGATTTCCATTAAGCAATGCACATAGGTTTGTGTTCCTGGGAAAGACACATCTCTGCAGAACATGTCCTCTAAAGTGGTCTTGGTGTTGGTTTAAATCTCTTTAGAAACAGAAGTATCAGCTTGCAGAAAGATTCACTCAGGGATAATGCCTATCTGTTTTTGCCTTTTCTCTTTTTCTGTGCTTAATAATACAAAATGTGGAGGGGAAAAAAATACTTCTAAGGAATTTGCATGGAAAATAAAAAAATAAAAGAATAAAAGAAGACATTAATTTACACTCTTGGGTGTCAGGCTGTAATGTGATTATGCTGACAAAACTAAAAGCATAAACGTTCAGAGCTCATAGGCATTTTAGGAAAGGTCTTTAGGTTAGCAGATGAAAAAAATTTGTTTCTGAGCATTCTGCAGTTCCTGAATTCACACATTACACAGGTGGGTACACGCGCTGACCAAATGCCGTGGAGGCTGCAAAACCTTAAGAGAAGCTTGCCAGGGGGCTGTTATTTCCAGTTAAACATAAAATCTGATGGCTGCAAAATGTCAGTGCTGAACAGTAATCTTTATACAAAGGGAAACTTGTACTTTTGGGCTCCTCATCCCCCTGCAGCAGAGTGCCTTCAGCAAGGGATTGAAATGGCAGGTGTGAGTAACTCCAAATATCACGTAACTCCACCTCTGCAGGTTGCATTGCTCATTCTTCTGTCTTTCTGTGGGGAGAGTCACCTGTGGTGCTACCTGGGGAAAGAGCCTCTGCAGGGATGGTGGAGACTTTTGCCATGGTCCTTCTGTGGGTCAGGGTGAGAGAGACTGGGTGAGGAGTGGGACACTGGCCCTTTCTGCATGGAGAGAGCATGTCTATGAGCATGTGAATTTGCTTCTGTAGGACAGAGAAAGAGGAGAGAAGGCATTTGGTGCCATGGGAGGGTAGGAAGAGAGGCATGGCTGGTGCTGTCTCTTTCAGGGTAAGAGGAGTTGAGATGAAGGATGTCCCATCTCCTGCATGACCTCTGTGGCTGTCAGGGTTTGACCATTTTTGTCTCACTGCTGGATGAGAGCACAAAGGAACAAACCTCCTGTGATAAAGCCAAAAAAGGTCTGGGATTGCCTTGCCTCTTAACCTAGGAAATGTCCTGTATCACTGGGGCCATGTACAGACTCTTTCCAGAGCAAAGAAACCCAGTTAAGTTTGCGGGCTTCCAGGAGTGAAACCAGAAAATGAAAATTTCGGAGGGGTCAAATAGCCTGGTGATTAAAGCAGTTGCCATATCCATAACAACTCAAGCTGACTCTCCTCCCACCCTGTGCCACTCCCTGAATACTGGCAAGCAACTCTTTAGGAGCAGTTGGAGGTCTCTCTCTTGCCTGGACCTAGTAAAAAAGTTTCATTAAAATTGATGTGATTCAGTAATGACATGGTACCATCCCTACGCAGTAGAAGTGCAGAGTCTCCTTTGAGTTTTCAAGATGAAAACCCTATCCAATTCTGTTCCAAGGGAAAGCAACGTTTGCTTAGACAGATCTTGCTTGTTGCTTCTGCTGCTCTTGTGGAAGAATAGCATTGCTCTAACATGTCAAAATTAAACCCACCTCTCACTCAGAATATAGCAGACTAAATGTTAAATTAAAACTAAAAAGATGAGGAGAGAGCAAACTGATTGTTAAACTTTTAAATCCAAAGGATTCAGTATGTGGAACTTCCCCTTCCATTGTTTGTAATACAAACAATGTTGTTTGTATTACAAATAGGAACAAGACTTGATTGCTTGTTTATATTTTGGTCTTCATTCCTTCACTTTCCTTAAGCATCAATGGCCCATGCAGATTAAGAAAGTTAAATAAAAGTTCTGTGGATCATGGTATCCCAGCTAAAATAGCTTAAGGGTCCAGCCATACTTGGAATCCTAGAATCATAACATGGTTTGGCTTGGGAGGGGTATTTAGAGGTGATTTAGTTCAACCCCCCTGCCAATGGCAGGGACACCTGAAACAAGATCAGGTTGCTCAGAGCCCCATGCAACCTGACCTGGAATGTTTTGAGTACATACAGCATCCACCATCACTCTGGGCAACCTGTGCCAGTGTTTTACCACCTCCTGTAAAAAACCTCTTCCTTATGTCTAATCTAAATCAATCCTCCTTCAGTCTAAAACCATCATCTCTTGTCCTGTCACAACAGGTCCTACTAAAAAGTTTTTATTCTAGGCCCCCTTTCAGTACTGTAAGTCTGAGGGTGTCATTCAAATAATTTATAAAAAAGTGCACTTCAACTTTCTACTTTTAAATCATCCTATATGTACTGGTAATTTTCACAGCCTCCTTACCATTTGAGATATAAATACACCTTTTTTGGTCCCTATTTAAGGCAGTTAATACAGGTGTTTCCATAGAAGGACATATTTACTGAATGATGATTTATCAAAATGGAAAGGGTTCTTTGAAAGCCATCTACTTTAATTAGAGGTAACTTTAACTGAATTAGTTTAAAATACATTAATTCAATTGTGTGGAAATGACCTGCCTGTTAGCTTCATGCATGCTTTGGAAAGGTCTTTTTGGTTCTTGTTCTTGAAAAACAGGCTATAATAATTGGAGGTAGGGATTTGCTTTTAGGGCTTAGATTTTTTCGGAGACAATAATTTTTCTAAAATACCAAGTAAGCTTGCTGAGATCATAAAGCAATTTCTTTAGTATATTTTGTAGAATTTTGATTAAAATATGTCTTCTTTTTCATGAAACTAGTCTATAACTGTGAAGCCCTAAGGTAGGAAGGCTGGTTTAGTTTCACAGGCTAAGGTCATTAGAGGGTAATAGAGATGATTCATACTCTCATAAAATAGAAGTATATTGAAATGCTAAAGAAATTAAACCAAATTAATCCCCTGTGTATTTTACAGACTTGTTTAGGCATGTAACTACTATGAATTTTACCTATTAGATCTGTTCTCCTAGGAAAAAGAGACACTCTGAAATAGCATGAAAGTCAGGGAGGTTTATAAATTGCTGTGATCAATGGTATCCTTTCAGCAGAGATGCAGAGGAAACAGTCATCTAAAAGTAGAAAGGGGGAAGCAACTATAGTACTGAAGATAAACCCTTCACCTGAAGTGTAAGGTGAATTTTAATCCAAAATAAGTTCTAAGGAAAAAAATTCTTAATGTGTATCATGGATAATCATATAGCCTATTTGTTTCCTTCATTGCTCCTCAAGAGATTGTGGGAATGTGGATTTTTTATTTATTTAATTTCTTTCGTCAGTGATACTCAGTGGAGCTGTGCTTAGCTGGCTCATTTCTAGAAAATTTAAGAACAAGATGCTCTCAAATACTTATGCCCCCATATTCCTTATTCTGTGGAAAAAGCTTTTCCCCTGTCTCTGAACATTCTGGCAGAGGATTAAATCCTAGGGTTTCGTTATTCTGATCCTTAGTGGGTGTAAATACCCTGTGGTCTCTGACCTTGGCCCAGTCACAGATTTTCTGGTGCACAGGTAAC